TTCCCTATTCCAAAATACATCCACCATTACAGTTTTTACACCGGCAAAAATATTTCTCCAGTTACAGTTGTTAATGATCTGCCACTTTATCTCAAATTTAAATTCAGATTAATTTTTGATTCAGATTTTTCTGCAGCTAAAGAAATTGAGAAAATTTCTAATACAAGAAAGAAGAGATTTAATTATTTCAATTACATTGCTTACCTGCCAGTACGTCTTATGGCCAGGAACATAAATAAATAGCAATGGAATATTATTATCAAGGGAATAAAAAACACGCAGCAACATAAAATCATGGTGTAACTTCTGTTTGCAGGGGAGTAGGTTACATAGTCCCATGTACAGGATATCATCAAGCCCTCAGGCACATAGGAACCTATGAAATACATGGAATACATTATTCACACGTACACCCAACACTTGCACAGTTGCTGATCCAACAACTGAGCACTTAAAATAACCCTGTACTGAATACATAGTGTTCAAGAGCTATGTTGGCTGTATTATATGTGTGGTCTAAGAATGCGAGTTCACACATGAAGAGGAGGCCGTGACTGCCAGACTCTCAGATAGCCCTAATACTCCACCTGCAATTCTTTCTGCTTGAATATAGCCTGGGGATAGGGGGGAGGAGGATATCCGCACTGCAATAGGTGCCAATGCACAGCATGACACAAACCATCAGGTGGTGGCTAGGCATCCACCCGAGAACTTCCCAAAAACCTCATTTTTTGGTAGCCTGAGCAAGGCTAAAACAGATCACACAAGGAATGCTAGAAGAGATAGAGAGAAGACAACATACTCCACCCAAGGAGCGGAGCCACGCTCCATCCCAGCGAGTACAGCCACACGATAGCGATGATCTGCATGGTGCGTTTCCTTGAAGTCCACTGTATGGATCTCAGGGGCTTGGTGATCACAAGGTAGCGGTCAACAGAAATAGCTAATAAAGTCATCATTGAGGTTATTCCGAAGAGTGCCCCACAGAAAGCGTACAAGTCACAGCCTGAAGCAGAAAATGGCAATGTTAAGGATTTTCTTAAAAGACAAATGTTTTCTCTCAAGAGCCTGCCATGATAAACTTCCCATTTTTTTCCTGGCTCAAGACTTCTATCCCATTAGAAGAATTTTCTTAGCCTCACAATTCCAGTCATTAAACATTTATTAGAAAAAACACAAATATTATTGGAATACAAACATATGTATTTAACAAGTCCTACTCTCCACTGCAGGCTGCAACTGGGAACCTTTTGTCAATGGAAAACTGCCTCAAAGAAAATCCAATCTAATTAAAGTTACATTTTCCTGGACTGTTGCCCAATATATTGATCCTAACCGGCTGCAGCAGACATCTGTCTGCTAATGACAGATGAGTGTTTCAAAAAAAAATTTTGGTTTATGTTGCTTAAAAATGTAGAAGTGGTTTAAATTTGGTGGCTAAAAGACCATCTGTAAAACAACTCCAGCGCCTATATTTAATAGCAGCACTTTTTAAAAGAACTAACGGTTTTTGCATTAAACAGGGTTTTTTTTCCCCTCTTTGCATTTAGACATTGTGCTAGCAGATGAAAACTTGTAGTTACACTGTCCCTAATTGGATTCAGAAACCTGTGTTGAATGATTGATCATTTTTTGAGATCTTGTGTCAGCCCTTGTGGTTATAGACAACAGCCCATTGGGAACGGAAGGCAGTCAAAATGCTAAATTCAATCTTAAAGCAGATTTCTTCTAAAGTCTTTATAAGTAACTGCAATTAAGGACCAAATCCCACTCAACCCAAATCGATGGCTTCGTTTGTGTCAGCATGATAATTTACACTGATTTCATCTAAGGGGATGAGCAATACTGAGAACACGTTCAAACTAAAGAAGAAACCGTTCTGTGCTGCTAAATAATACATGGTCTCTGGGCCTGTTCCAGCAGTACACAACCACTACTTGGTGCAAATTTTCATGCAAAGATGCAATGAGCAGTACCATACAGAGCATTGAGCCTTCAAAGGAACTTCCTATACTCACAGTTCAGCTACAATTTGAGCATGTATCACCTTTTCTTGCAGTGGGAAAGAAAGGAGCTTAAATTTGCAGAATCCTCAACCGACTATCGTTATTTAAATCTCTTAGTGAATGTGAGATTCCTAGAAGCATGCTAATGGGTATTGACATACATTTCTAGATAAAAATGTTAACTCCCTCTTAAACTAATCAGAAAGAATATTTATGATTTAATAAAATTTTTCTACCCATCTTTAGCCATAGCATCTGCCTTTACAAGTTAAAGGGTAACATGATTACGTGTTGATGTTGACTGCTTTCTTTCCAAACTAAGTAAGCTGAAAGAGTCAAACCTATAACACAAAACATGTGCCATCATGTTGACTGACGATGTCAAGAACCGGGGCTGTCACTCAAGAGTCTTGTGCTGCTGTCTTCACAGCACAAGACGAGATTGTTTTGGCTAAAATAGGCTGCAGACATTGTAGAGCTGGTGAGGTACAAATTAGTGTTGAAAAGTACCTATATCTCCAAGTATCCACTCTCTGTGCAAGCTGTTGACAAAGCACATGGGTGCCTGAGAAGCCGACATCAGGAAGTCACTTACAGCCAAATTCATTATGAAGTAGTTTTGGGGTGTCCTCAGCTTCTTGTTGCTTAAAAACATGAGAAATATGTGATTTGAAATAGACAAAGTGAACAGTTAACTTTATGACTTCATTTACTAGCATAAACAAATACTATCCAGGTTGGAATTGGTTACTTACAGTCAATGAATTGCTAATCATCAGTCAATTACTGCCGCTACACGTATCACAGAATCACAGAAGGGTGGGGGTCGGAAGGGACCTCAAAAGATCATCTAGTCCAACTCCCCTGCCAGAGCAGGACCACCTAGAGCAGGTCACACAGGAACACATCCAGGTGGGTTTTGAATGACCCCAGAGAAGGAGACTCCACAACCTCTCTGGGCAGCCTGTCTCAGTGCTCTGTCACCCTCACAGTGAAAAAGTTTTTCCTTATGTTAATGTGGAACCTCCTGTGCTCCAGTTTGCACCTGTTGCCCCTTGTCCTATCACTGGCCATCACCAAGCATATAGTATGATGTATAGTCATTTCAAAATGATCACTGACAATAGCAGCAAGGACAAAATGTTGTTTCCTCTTCAGACTGAGGAGAATTCCAGCTGTCTCAAAAAACATGGATTTCTTCAAGAGAAGAGCAGTTCCCTATAAGTACAATAACACCGATCGTGTCCTGCACCACCTAAGACCAGGATCTGAAGTGGGTTACAGAGCCAAAGGACCTGCTTTGGGGGAATTTTTAAAAGCTGCTGACTGATAAAGAACCTTTCACTTTCACTTGGGGTTATTTGATTGCACATGCCTTTACTGCTCTGATCAAATATTATGTTCCACTAGGAAAGTTAAATTAATTTGCGAGTTCAGCTCACCAAAATCTACCTTAAAACTGGCACTTTTGAGGGATATACTAAGAAGGCGTAACACTGAACTAGTAGTCCCCTCAACATGAACCACCGTGTTGGTTGCATGGCAAAGTAAAGAGCTTTGGTACCTAGAGTTTGAATTCAGGACTTTTCACAATGTTATGTACATATAACATAAAAAGAGGTGACTTGGCACACTCTGTGACACATAGCGGGGAAGCAGGATTTTATAAATGGCTTTGTTCTTGCAACCTGCCTGCAGTTATTCTCAATTGTTTGAAACAATTGTTTCTTTTCCCCCAAACACCTCCTTCAGTGTAGAAAGTTGAACAACTGAGGCCTTTCTGATGTGTTTTAAAATATCAGTATTTGTAGATAACATGCATTTCTTTCCTCATGCTGATAAAGAAATACTGAAAAAGAAATTGAAAATGCCATCTCAATGCTGCTGCAATTCTAACAAAACCTTGGGTCTCATAGCTGCCTGCAACAACTGTGTGAGAGAGGGCACAGAGTTCACACCTTCACAGGTATTCGTCTGCCTATGGAGATTTTCCTACTTTGACAATTTAATGCTTTTATTACACCAGCTAAACCAAACAAATTTCAAGAATAATGGAGAGCTTGTGCTCTGTTTAAAAAATCATGGAGGTATCTACAGTTGCAGGGAATTCAATTTCTCTTCTCTGCCATACTAAAAAACAGTTGTTCAAAATAACTGATTTGTTTGCCTTAAACATTTAAGAATAGGTAACTAACACTTGGTTCATAAACCCACCAGTGTTTCTAGCATTGCAAAGGCACTCTGCATCAACATGCGTGATGACAACAAGCAGTGAGCAAAGAGGATTTTGAAATCCAGCATCACAGTCTGGGACAGAAAAAGGCTATTTATTTTTTCCATGAGATTTTTTCATACTCCAGCTGCAGTAGCTTTGGCTGTCTATTACACTGTCAGAAGCCAAGCGAGCACACAAACTGACAGAAATCCTATGATCTGCCTGAAGCAGGGAATACACTGATGGCATGAGCTCATTTCATGTAGTGCATTGCTTTTCTGGTCCTTCCAGGACATCTGGGCTGCTGGGAAGAGCGTCAGTTTTTGTCAAGTATTTCTGCAAATTCTACAGGGTAAGTGAAGAAGTCTGCAACAGGGAGACTGTGGTTTCTATCATTAAAAGTATTAACCTCTTCTTTAAAATTTCAATGGGAATTGTTTATAGAACAAGGTATTTATTTTCTTGTTTTCTTTGATTCCTTAAAACATGAGGAATTTACACTGAGGTTATCAGTGGTGTGTGTGGATATGTGGGGAGGGGACGACTAGTCTTTCTCCCCCCACATTTGTTGCCATCAGCCTTTGCTTGGAGATTTAATCCAAGAGGGAACCAATGCAGAACACCTGCACACAGGCACAGGTGAACCTCAAGGCCAGTCAGATTAACTGTAAAAGGAATTTTTGTACCTGTAAAACGCATAGAGAACTAGGAGGTTTCCGATGATGCCAATGGAGCCAATAATGAGCACACACGTTCCTACGGTGTAAAGAACATAGTCAGGGATCTCTGCCTTGGTCACAGCGTGTGGCTGGGTGCCCATGTTCAAACCCTGAATGGAAAACAGAGGAAAAGGAAAGCTTAGCCCATTCAGGACATTTATTCCAGAGGACACATGCTCAGCCTTTTGAAGCAAGGCAGAGCAACCATTTCCACAGTTCATGGAAATCAAATACACCGAGCTCTTTTCACAACCCCTGTGATCAAGTTTCCCTCAAGTAGCCTTCATTACTTTAACAGTACATATTTATATTAAAAAAAAAAAAACCAACAGGGAAAACAGACTGGAAAAAAATACTAAGGAAGTTATGATGATGATGTGAAAAAGGCAAAGATGTGCTAGTGTAAAACTTGCTCTGGGTAACAGCTGCACTTTGGGGCGCAGAGCTAGCTGACAACACACACTTTAGTTCAACAAGGCATCGCCTGTCACACTTCGGTTTTTATTAGTACCACTGATATCAAATTCCACACTTACAGCCATTAAATCACCCAGGTTTCCCCAAGCTCCTTGTCCACTAATTTACAGTGCAGCAAAACCTGGGAATTCCCCATGGAAAAGGTAGGAGACCAGAGGTAAACAGTAGCAGTAGCATCGCCTGTATAAGCAAAAATACATTAAATAGTCTTGACACCTCTTTCACTGCCCTTTATCCAGCACACGAATAAAACACCACCAACTCTACTTTTTTTTTTCTTTCTTTCTTTTTAAATAAATTCAGATTTATCACTGGCTAAATTCAGCAGCGGGACAGCCTACAGCTAATCCACTCAGCTCTCATTAGCATTGTCGACGAGAAGTGTCCGAATTGCCTGATGGAGATTCTTATTCACCAAGTCAGAAGCAGCTAAGCCACGCAGAGCGCTCACACACGCGGTCAGATCTAGACAGCTTAGTCAAAGGTGTGGCACCTTGTCACAGCTGAGGAACTGCTTTGCTTCACCACATTTCACTGCTGTGCAGCTCAGCGACATGCAGGATGTGGGACAAGGCTGATTTTGGCCTGTTGGAGAGGAGCTGGGTGACTGCAGAAGTTCAAGCTGATAACTATCACCCCACCAGTCATATTTAAGTGGCCATTTGAAAATGGTGAGAACAGCCTTTTCTTTCCTGTGTTGCTAGCACTGACTCTCCCATACTGCTGTTTCTCCTTTCTGCCTTCTATTATTCCTCACTCATCTATGAAGTGCACACATTACAGCACCCTCCTTGTACAACAGTTTCAGCTGTGGACATTATCCCCTCCACTGTGCAACCCCACTGGGTCCGGTTGCACTTGGTGATAGGAAGCACCTGGTGAGGTGCATAGCACACCCTGAGCATCCACAAAACAGTGGGTTTGGAGCAGAAGCACTGACAGCAAAGCTCCTGGGGCTGAAGTGATGTAGTAAATGGTACAAAAGCTATGGCTTCAAAGCAGAAAGCTGCTTTCAAACCTTCCCAGCGGTCTGACAGACTGTACTCATAATAGGATGGCTACTGTCAATGAGACACTTCACCAAAGATAACATTGCTGTAAAAGTAGAAAGAAATGAAAGGGAGGGTTTGTTGGTGCTGGATGCACCAGGGAACTGTCACTGCTATTCCCAGCGATCAGGCAGCAAGAAATGCTACCCTGTGTATCATTTACCCTTGAAGAAGGTGTGAGAGGTAGCATAAGAGTGGGCACCACATGGGGAGGCGGCCCAGAGAGGAAATGCAGCTGTGGCTGTTTGGTGGCACCAGGCACAGACGGTGCCATGCTTTCAGAGTGTGCAGGGCACACAAATTAACTTGTTAAACTCCTTTCTTCTTCCCTCCAACCTGATCTTCTTAGCAGTGTGTGTGCACTAAATCGGAACCCTGCCTCATTTCTAGCAATGCATACCAAAGAGGCTAAACTGGGGCGAAAGGAAAAGGATCTTTTTTTTTTTTGTTCTTCTTTTCCAGCTTACCTGTTCGGCATGCTCAGGATTTACCCTTATATAGAGGAGTATTGTATAGATGTTACAATTCAGGGCAAGTAATACTTGCCTGTCATATGCATTATGCTTTACTTCACCATATGGGAACGCATTGTTGCAGAAACTCATTTGAGAAACAGACTACAAATTTCACACCCAAAGGTGTCTCGCCTTATCCCTCTGCTGAAGAGAAGCTGACTTGGACATTTTGGCCTCGTTTATTCAGTTATGAATGGTAAGCTATGTCAAAAGCTGAAAAATGTCTCATGTGACACATTTGTAAACTCAGATTACAGTTTGCTGGCAATACGGTGTGAAATATAAACTATTGATGTGTACAGAGTGGAATTTGGAAGGCAATAAATACCAGGGATTACACAGAGCCTGCAATCTCAGTGAGAAGCTCAAGTGATGGATGTTTAGATTACACAGGCTTTGGAGATGGGATCTTTCCTTCAGAGAAGTCCATAAATTACCACTGCTGCTTTTGCTGCAACGTTAATAGTGGTAAGAACAACTTTAAGATCTGAATAAAAAGACAGCTACTTACTCACATTGTCGGTGTTACCCTGAGACAGCAGGATGTGGCAGGCATCCAGCTGTATGAAATGTGGCAAGCTGATAAAGACAGAAAACCATTTATAACACTGTAATTTGGATCTAAGAAGATAAATGTGCATATCTGTGTGTGCATGCGCGTATATATATTTCAACAGAAAACCTCAACTTTTGTAGAAAATAATTTCATTAAACTGGTGGAAATTTTCTAATAAAACAGGCTAAACCAGTACCACAGCTGCAAGGTAATCAAAAAGCATTTATACATCATTTTACTCACATAATTTATTTCACCAATTTGGCATAATTTCATAGAATCGTGGAATGGTTTGTGTTGGAAGGGACCTCAAAGACCATCTAGTTCCAACCCCCCTGCCATGGGCAGGGACACCTTCCACTAGACCAGGTTGCTCAAAGCCCCATCCAGCCTGGCCTTGAACACTACCAGGGAGGGGACAGCCACAGCTTCTCTGAGCAACCTGTTCCCAGTGTCTCACCACCCTCACAGTAAAGAATTTATTCCTCATATATAATCTAAATCTATCCTCTTTCAGTTTGAAACGGTTACGTCTCATCCTATCGCTGCACTCCCTTATTTATTTCTCAATAAAAAACTTTAAAAATAAAGATTTAAATACTCCTAAGGTTGAGAATTTAAAATCTACTCTACTGAACAAATGCTGCTTTTCTAATACAGACCTATTCTTGGTACAGAATAACACCTAGCTGGAGACAAACCATCAGTATCATCAAGGCTTTAAGATACTCACAAAATTTAAGCTTTTTCTCTTTTCCTCCAGTATCACCTGTGAGAAGCTGGCCTTTTTGGTAATTTTGATTAACTAGGTAAATACTTAATAGTGTAAATATTTTACTGTATAAAGATGAGGACTAGAATTATGAAAACAAGATTCTAAGCTTAGTGACAAGCTCTAATAAGAAGCTATTTTTTGTTGATACACTCAAAAGCTGTTACCACTCCATGCACTTTTTTGGTACTTTCTGGTTTTCCTGAGTAATAAGAATAAAATCAAACTGTAGGAGAATATTCCAAGATGCTGTGACGCTTTCCGACCCAAGAAAACCCAAATAAGTGTTATAAATCTTTCCAGATGATTAGGCAAGCAGGACAGCAGCTAAGTACAGCAGATTGCATTTGCTATAGTCACTGTTGTGTCTTACTGGGTTATGTCTGTATTAGCCTCTCTTAGCACCAAAATGGTGTGTGGTCAATGACAGCTGGTATGAATCAGCAAAAAATCAGTTTATGCTAGTGGAAGGGTGCTGCCTTTTAGACTTAGCAAAGCACGGATTTCGGATCCATCTCATGCCACCGCTCTCTAAGTGCTAGAGTACACTCTGCAGTTATATTTCCTATTCATTTTCATTTTATTAACAGTGAACATAGACTGCTTGAGACTGCAATCAGAAAACTTAGAAAGTTAAAAGACATGCTGTGAGATGCTCTGTCAGCTTCAGCTGTTTCACACTGCCATGGTAATACACGGTTGCCCTGAATTCAGCACATCTGTCTCAATAAATTGTGTTTATGGGTGCTCAATATAATTGCAGCCACGTAATGTAGAATGAAAAGCCTGTTCCGTATAAGCCACAGTCTTGCTCCTTCTATTTAATGATGTGATTTAACATAAAGACAATGAGGGAAGGCATTACATTTTATTCAACCAATATATTGAGCCTTTAATGGGTGAAGTGAGTTTTCAAGAGCTCATGAGAAATGTGTTCACCTGTCCATTTTTCCCCCAGCTTGGCTTTGCCTCCCTCCATTTGTAGTCCTGGGACAGAATCCCAAGCACTCTGCTGAAGACATATCCTTTTCCTAAGTGAAGATTTTAAAGACACCACCCAGAACGACCTGATTTTTTTCACTCAAAAATACAAATGTAAACAAGCAGCCCACAAAGATGCCAGTAATTGCAGCAGCACCAGCTTCTGGCATACTTGTCAATCCTGTAGTCACTTTGGCTCCTTCTAAATTACTGCTACAATCACTTGCATTTTGACTCTATGAGATGTTTGACCTGACAACTTACATAAATCACAATGTGGCCTTGCCCTTATATGCAACGTGACTACAACATCAAAATGCTGTCACCTATGTGGCTGCTTGGAGGGCTTTCCTGGCAGGGTAACTAACAGAGCTGCAGGCATACAGATAAACAAGATGAACAATTAATGACTGTTCCTCAACTAGGTGGCAAAGGAAGCAGGCATCAGGTATAAAAATACACTTGGTTTATTTCTCCCAAAATAAAGATGGAAAACTTAACAGATAAGGAAAGTTATCCTATGAAAGCTTTTGTAATTTGATTTTTAGTGATAAAATGATGTCCAAATAATTAGAGCCATCTGTTTCTGCTTTCCAGATGGTAAGATTAATAAAGATTGCAATGCAGAAGACAAAATTGTTAACAGAGGAGGGCAAGTGCAGGTCCCTCTCAATGGGTAGGTGTGGAAAATAATGGATCAAATTCAGAAATGGTTGTATGATTTGCTTTAGGTGTGCATAAGAGTATCTAAAGCT